GTACCTAGTGATTAGCTGTCTAAAGTGATCGTAGTTTATTTTTTAACGCCATGGACCTTATATATACCTAACCCTAACCTATCATAAGAGCAACAAAAGCATCACTAAGATAGTTTATGCTTTTTCTTAAATTTTGTGATTATTTTCTTTTTCGAATCATTCTATTGACACAGTTTGAGTTTCCACGAAACATTTTTCTGAGAATCACAAACGTTTTGTAATGTATGTAGGATCCAAAGCGAATTAATATAAGGTGATAGCGGGGACTAAATTCTGTAGCTATGAGTGTGTGCTATGTAGTGTACACCGGTTGCAAACTCACAGCCAAAAACTCACATAATAAAACTCAGTAGGGGTATTCTCTGAGTCTTGCAAAGCCCTTGCACGGTGCACGGATTGCACGGTTTGCAAAGCTGTCCCATACGAAATACGGTTTTTACCGTGCAATCCGTGCAATCTGCGCACCATGCAAGGGCTTTGCAAGACTCAGAGAATACCCCTAGTGAGTTTTTCGGAAGAGAAGTGTAAACAATTTTGACAGCTAAACCTCATTCTCACACTTCCTTAATCGCATAACGTAGAGCACAGTTGGCGAAACACATACATAAAATCGGCTGAACACCACCTTATAAAAATTCGCCTTGATAGAATCTATATCATCAAATTTTACATGGATTATTTTTTATATTTTGTAACAATGTAGACATACTGATGATACTTTATAAATACATTTCAGGTGTACGTTTCCGAAGTAAATGTTTTTTTAAATTGTCCGAAGTCAGCTTTTGTAAATTTAACCTATAAATTTAGTGGACACACCTACATGTTACAAAAGTAGTTAATAATAATAAAATTGATTGAGGTAAAGAATCGATTAATTTTAGTCAATTTGTTTGTCAATAAAAACACCCGAAAATAATTCTTAATTTTTAACAAATAAACCGACTTACTGAAAAAAATTTACAAAAGTCCATTTTTTTAAGTCTGGAACTAAAAACACCACGTAGATCCACAAGTAATTTTGAAGCAAAAAAAAAACAACTTCAATTCTCTTATAAAAATTTAATAGTACCGTTAATTTCTTCAAGGTCCAAAGATCGGATCTAAACAAAATTAACAAAACAAACAAATACATTACAGAAATCGTTTAATGAGTTCCAAAGTTATGCGGTAACATATATACATACATACAAAAAAATATTCCTACGAATTTGTAACTTCCTCCTTTTTTTGAATTCGATTAAAAAGTATGTTATTTTTGATGGCTCTTTCCATGAGTGTAGACAATTTTGTTTAAAATAAATTAACTAAAAACGAAAGGTACTAAAAAGCTCTAAAAATATGACGCCATTAAATTCAGAGTACAATAATTTAATAAACTGAATAACTCCAAAAAATTTACATTGGTATTATTGCACTTCTATAATACGAGATTTCGAAGATACATATGTATACTTTCTGGGGGGTTTTAACCACAAACAACAAAATATTTGTGTTGGTTGGCGGGAACTCTTGGCTGCTTTATGAGCACACCACCAAAAAAAAAAAAAACTTGTAGAGATATGTATCTTGAAAAATAAGAATAAAAAAGAAAAAGAAAACATTTTTTTTCACCATTTTGCGGTTTGTTTACAATTTTAACTCATTTTTTTCTCAATTCACTCTGGTAAACCTTCGAACAAAGCGCTCAACAAAACTAATTATGTATTTCATTTTGAACGAGAAGATTTTATGAGATTGTAAATAAATAAATTTTACTCTCTTCCATTCCATGGAAAATTTAATAGTGGACTTTTTTGGGTTTTATTTTTGTGTGTTGTTTTCCACCAAATTGCAGGTGTCAGAATATTTTTACACACATCTGGTGGCTGAAGTCTAGACGCTAAAGATGCAAAAGATGATGGTCGTTTGTTTGTGCGATGAGCATATATACATACATACATACATATCTATGCAATACCACTATTTATGTACAAACTATATACTTTTTACTAGAGGCTGTATGCGACTGAGCATTGAGAAAGACAGACATTTTCACGTTCAACGCCTCCGATATGTCGATTTTGTTTAGCAAACTATCAGAAGTAAGTGAAAACGTCAGTGTACATATACACACATGTACATATATATGTATGTACATTAATTTTCCACACATTTTTCAACGCATTGTCAAGTTCTATTTTCTTTCGCCGTTGCTAATTTTGTCCTCTCAGGCAAATATTTTTCTAAATATTTACGCATTCATAAAAGCGACATGTTTCTGCCATTCAAAATTATTTTTTACGCACATCCCTGTCTACATGTCAGTCGTGTGGAGGATGATGAATTTCCAACATTTTTTTTTTTCTTAAAGCTTACTTATACAATTTACCTCTTTCAACCTCAGCGTTTATGTTGATGGTACGCAGCCTCAGTTCCTCATTCTCATAGATCATGCCACGTGATGACTTTCGATCCAATCTGCAAATTTTTGTTGAAAAATGTATTATTAGTGAAGGGTCTACTATTAGTTACATCGATGGTCCTCTGCAATAAGGATACAACTCAAAAATCAAAAAATAAAAACGGTTTCTACTTTTAAGTGGTTTTTGTCTATAATCCTTGCCAAATCCATTTCCAACCCTTACTTAAGTAAGCAGCAATGATTGCTAAAGTAAGTAATAATGATTAAACATGGTTTCGATAAGGTTTAGAGTTATGAGCCATTATCGTTATTGCACAGGACCATCGATATGTATGTATATATGGATATGGGATGCTAGAATAATTTTTAATATTTTATTAGTAAACATCGCAAACACAACAACGACACACGCTTACGAAGAGTAGCCATCCCAAATACTCCTTTTATGCCACATGAAGGCACTGAAGATTTCAACCCTCTATTGATGTTATGTTGAAAATTTTAATCCATACTTTTTAAAAGATTTCAATTCATCAAAATTCTTGCTTGACTTTAAAAGGATATTGTCAAAAAATTACTACTTTTTTATATCTTTATTTATTTTAATTTAAACACTTGCTATTGACGTCATTATAATTTTTGAAATGGGTAAAAATTTGAATATTTTTATGAATGTGAGTAAAGCTGGATAATTAGAATCATGGCAACGAAGTTTTAAACTTTGGATTGTTTTTCGTTGTATTTTTAGTGAATCGCTACCAATTAAAAAAGTTAATCTTCACGATTGAGCTCAGTACGAAAATTCTGTAAGCATTGCTCAAATTCAGTGTATCGTATATTTTGATTTCAAATTGCTCCAAAGGCGGTTTTATACTTGGTAAAGGACTTACAAGGACTTGATTTTATAGGCCAGCGAGAAAATCGAACTAAAATTTGTGCGTAATACTGGACTTGGGCATATACCTTCAGCAAGTTTTCAGAGAGATTATCTCCGTAGATTTCGATATAATCGGGCATAATGAGATTATTTATGATATCGGCTAGAAATTCTCATCAATCTGATTATGTCCAGCTTTTTTCAATAAAAAAAACTTGTATAAGTCCGTGAGAAAGGAACATTCGGACATTTGAGTAGTCAGATAAAATATCAGGAATTTAGCATAAATTTTTCACTCATTTATAAATATATGTGGGCAACGCATGGGTGGGGAGCGAAAGCAACGCCCACGAACACAATAGATGAAGCGAGTGAAGAAATAACTGGCGCAACTTTGAAAATAAGAGATGCAATTGGTGAAGTTATTTGTTCTCGGCACGAATCAAAAAAAGATTTTGCAGAGGCGCTTCGGTCGGTGAAACCTCAATGGATTAAAAAAGTTGAGAGCTTCTTGGATACAAAAAACAAACAGGACTCGAACTCAATTACTTTTAAGTATGCAACTGCAAACAAAATAACTGTATAAGCGCTAATTTTATTTTGGAATTTTATAAAAAAATCCAGTTTTTCTGATATCTGATTTACTTAAACACTTGCACAGCATAAAAAAGCGATTGAGTTAAATTTTATATTCAACCTTAACGCATATTTGGAAACATGAAATAGTTTCAGGGGTTAAATCTGGTTACTATGCTCATAAAAGCAGCATTGGAAAACAAGTTCACGCATTTTATTCTTACGATTGTGGAGTTTTATATATTCATATTTAGTAGGTACATAAGGCAGCCAATTGTATTGCTAGAACAAACGGTTTTAATCAAATTCATCATTTTACTGTCTAAGATAACCCCCAAAAAAAAACCCTCTTACCTCAGAAGTGGACATGGAATCGTGAAATTGCATTTCTCTCACTCTCACTCGATGAGGGTTAAGGGAAAATCTTTCAATGCTTAAGATATTTAAACGATATTTGCATCGTGTGCATGAATAATATTGTCATGAATTAAATATGGCAAATATTAAAAATTTTAAATCAACACAACAATGAAGGTAGTGGAAAATTCTTTCCGGAAGCACCAGGAGGAACTGAAAAAGCATTTATTAGGTCGTTGCTACCGATACGATCGCAAAATGGCGTCCTCTGGCAAAATGGCTTCCTGGATTTCTAAAACTATATTGGATAGAAGTCGAGCCGCATACTCTGCACTGAAGTTGCCTTACACTGAGAAAAAGGATTAGTTTTGACAGCTAAAGATATTTAGTTCTCGAATTTTGACAATATTTGGGAACTATTACCAAGGATTANATATTTCTACAAATTCCATTCAACTTAACGTATGGTTCATAAAAGGATGTCATTAAGCTCTGCTAATACAGATAAGCTTTCTTTCAACACATGGTTTAGTCATAGTTACAAAATCTTAGTTGAGGCAACCACGATTTGGTTTGATAGCGGAACATATTCATGCTTGTGAGCCACCCCTAAATATTGCTGAGCGCTCTCTGAGCACATGGGTGTCTCACATACGAAGAGCACAAGCTGAGCAATACACACAGTCCCACTTATTGAGTCCTTTGAATGCGCTAGTATGCCGACCATTGCATAAAAACGATTCAATGAATGAGACTGTGTGCGTGGAAATCATTGCTCTGCTACCGCTGTTCGTATATGGTTGAAACACGCGTGTGGTCAAAGAGCACTCAGTAAACTATGGCATGCCGATCATTGCGCTAGGTAGAGGAAGAAAATTGTGTGCTATGACATGCCCAGACTTGTTTATCTCAGTTTTAGTTTTGCCATCGCCGCGAGTTGTTTCGGTGTACGAATAGTTATTTAAAATATAAAGATTGATGCCAACCGGGATCTCTCAG